TTTTCCCTACAAATTATACAAAAAAATCTGACCACCTCTTTTGCTCTCACCCTTGCCAAGTCCCCAGCATCTCTGGGCTGGATCCAGTGGCCTTCCCTGTGGAGTCTGGTGCCCACAGGACTAGATTCCAGACCTCAGGAATCCTTGCAGAACTTTAGACTGGATCATTTTAGCTGGAAGGGCTCCGACGGCCACTCAGCACCGAGGTGACGTCCTTACTGCCGCCATCAGGGCCTGGATGACCTCCACCCACCTTGCTCCTTCTGCTTCAACAACAACCACAACCACCACCACACCCGTGCCTTGGGGCCTTTGACCTGGACTGTCCCTTTTCCTCCTTGGTCAGGACCTGCACTCACATTTTACTCACAGACACCTTCAACACGGCCACCTATAACCCCCACACACACCCCCCGTCCCTCTCCCTCCAATCCTCGGCTTCCACAGCTCTTAGCAGCAGGATTTACTCATCACTCATCTTTCCAACAGGGTACAGGCTCAGAGGAGGCAGCCTTGCTACGAACACCAACGCGCAGAACAGCGCATGCGCCCGAGAGCTGGGGCGTGATCATGGGAGTGTGGCCCTGGGGGTCAGGCAGGACAGGTGGGCTCCACTTCAAACAGGCCTGATGATTAACCATCTACTGCATCCCTAAGGAGAAAGACCAGGAGGAGCCTCATGCCAACTGAGGTCGGATCTGGTACTCCGAGGAGATCAGCAAGTACTTCTGCCATTCTGCCTCTCTACCAGTCCTTCAAAAAACAAAACAAGACCCCCAGCCCAACAAGCTTGTCTTTATCTAACTGAATACCACTTTTATTTGGGGGAGAGGAGTACTGAGTATTTAATCCAGGGGTATTTTACCACATCCCCAGTCCTCTGTTTGAGATTTTGAGTCAGGGTCTTGTTAAGTTGCTTATACTAAGTTGCTGAGTCTGGTCTCAAATTTGAGATCCTCCTGTCTCAGCCTCCCGAGTCCCTGGGATTACAGGCATGTGCCACCATGCCTGGCTTGAATATCATTTATTTTTAATAACTGTGAAAATTTTAGTGCTGATGAACATGATGCTGATATTAGCTATCACATATGCAGGGCTTACTGTGGGAGAGATACTATGCTACTGCTTTATTAACTTTTCTATGTCTTCACTATTTCATCTATACAATGGGAATAATAATTAGCACCACTTAAGGTGACTGCAAGGATTCAGTCATAATAGTAAGATCTTGAAAAATATTAGTTTGTTTTAGTTAGCTACTGCTGTGTAACAAAGCCTCCTAAAACACAGTCATAAAATACCAACCATTTATTTGCTCATAATTCTGCAATTTAGGCAAGGGTCAGAGGGTGAGAGGACTCAGGATGGTTTGTCTCTAATGCAGATGGGGTCAGCTGGCAGCAGTTAAAAATCCAAGGCAGCATCACTCTCATTAGCTAAAATAGCCAGAGCAGCTAGAGGCTGCTGGACCTCTATAAAGATACAATCAGAGATATGGGAAAATGTGCTCTATATGTGTAAAGCGAATTGTAATGCATTCTGCTGTCATATATAACAAATCAGAATTAAAAAACAAAACAAAAAAAAGGCAGACAGCGCTGCAGGAGACCTCCAACCAGGGCTCTGAGAGTAAAAGCAGAAGGTACCAGGCCTCTTAAGGTTCAGGCCCCACATTTGGTAAGTGCCACTTTTCACTGCATTCTATTGATTCAAACAAATCATAAACCTGTCCAGATTCAAGGGAAGGAAGGAGACTCTGCTACTTCACAGGAGAAACAGCAAAGAATATGTGGTTGCATGCCAGGTACAGTGGCACATGCTGGGCACGGTGTCATACGCCTGTAATCTCAGCAGCTTGGGAGGCTAAGGCAGGAGGATCACAGTTCAAAGCCAGCCTCAGCAATGGTGAGGCACTAAGCAACTCTGTCTCTAAATAAAACACAAAATAGGGCTGGGGATGTGGCTCAGTGGAGTGCCCCTGACTTCAATCCCCAGTACCAAAAACAAAAACAAAAACAACCCAAACATAGCCTCTAGGTCCAAACATCACACACACTGTCCATGGAGTTAGTCAAACTCCTGCATAGCCTCAAACCTCTTCCTAGGATCCAGACCAGATTTTCTATCAGGGGCTCACAGCATTTCCTCTCCCTTTCTTTGTGAGATTACCATTTGAATCCTCATCCCTGAGACTGGGTTCTTTGGGGAAACTACTTTGTCCTCTGCTGTGTTCCCAATACTGAGCATAAAGCAGAGGCAAGATAAATGTCTGCTAAAAGTGTTGAGTCCTCAGAAAAGTTTAAGGCGAACCCTTTGAGTTGTGCAGGGATGGCCTCCAGATATTCTGATCCAGATCTACGCTCTGAAAATGGCTCAATCTGAGAAGTAGTTAGTGAGTCCTGCTGTGCCAAGTCACTCCTCTTGGGTTTGGAGATAAAGCATGAAAGAGATAATCAAAGCCTTGCCCTCATGAAGCTGATGGTATGGGGGGGGGTGTCAGTAAACAAGATAAATTGTACAGTGTGATAAACAGTGATATGATTAACATAAGGAAAAATGGATGTCAGTGGTATAATTTTTGAAGGATGGTCATGGAAGATCTCAAGAAGAAAGTATTATCTGAGTAAAAAACGAAAGGAGGTGAAGGAATGAGTATGGGAAATCTGGGACATGAGTCTTCCAGGCAAAGGGAACAGCAAGTGCAAAGATCCTGAGGCCAGTGTGGCTGGAGCAGAGTGAGTGATGATAGTCCACCATGTCAGAGAGATGATGAAGGTAGACTGTGCAGGGCCTTACAGGCCATGGAGAGGACTCTGGCTTTTACCATGGGTGAGATGGAGCCATGGAAGGGTTCTGAGTAGGGGAGGGACAGGACCAATGCAGATGTTCAGAGTCCCTTTGGACGTGTAAAAAACAGACTGAATAGGAGCAGGAAGACCATCAAGGTGCTACCACAGGAGTTCAATTTGATAAAGATGACTTTGGAGATACCTCCAGAAAAACAAGGAGGTATGAGGTAGGCAGTTGGTCAAGAGCTCAGGGGAGTGGTTCTGGGCTGGAAACAGAAATGTGAGACATACATTTCTGTGCCTGTCTCAAATTCTTCATGGATCTACATGATCTGGCCCCCTCTGATATCCCTAGGTTCATCTGGCACCTTAAAGTCAAGGGTTCTCTCTCTCACTCTCTCTCTCTCACACACACACACACACACACACACACACACTCACACACAACCTGACTCACTTCCTAGCTCTGTGATCTTGGACAAATTACTTAACTACCTCTATTTTCTGCACCTTTATTTGCAAAGGGGAGATGACAATAGCACCTGTCTCCAAATACTGTTAATTCCAAATATTTTTACTAAGTGAGTTGAGTATAGTTCAGTGGTAAAGCATTCCATTCCCAGTACTGGAGAGAGGAAAAATTAAGGAAAAATTTCATTGGGAATCTACAATCTGTTTCACGTGCTGGAGATACCCCTTCCCCAGCCCCTCTACCTCTTCCACAAACCTGCCAACTCAACCTTCTGGATTTCTCTCTACCTTTCTCCATCCTTCCCTCCCTATCATTGCCCCTGCTCTGATCCATCCAGGATCTCTCTTGCCTAGGAACCTGTTACAGAGACTGCCAGACCCCAGCCTCTTTCCTATCAATCTATTCCCAGATCGCAACAAAACTGAAGCATAATCCCTGCCCTCTAAAAATCCTGTAGTGACTTCTCCTTGTTCTCAGGACAAAGGCCAGCTCTCTAGATGGTCAAGAAAATGTCCCACGAGTTAATTCATTCAGAACTTTCAAAACGATCTCCACCAAAAACAGGTTCTTTCCAGGACTACCTTTGCGCATGCCATTCCAGGGGACTGCCCCCCAACACATCCTTCTGTCTGCAGGTCTTAGCTCCTACTCTCCCTGGAAGCGCCCCCTACCCTGCCTCCTCCCGGTTCTCACCGCGTTCCAGGCTGACTCCGTTACTGAACAGGCACAGGTCCGCAAGGATGTCCTGGCCTGTCTTCCGACAGGAGCATCCCGCAAGCCGCCTAGTCACAATAACCAGTGATGGCTCTCGTGACAGGGCCGCTTTAGGCCTCAGCGCCTACCTACTGTTCCAGAACCGCGAGCACATAACCTGCACGATGCGAAAAGGGACCCACCTTCCGCATGCCCGCCAGCCGCACACCTACGCAGTGAACTGCCCAAACGCCCCAATCACGGCTTCCTCCACCTCTACTGCCTGCCTCTACCAGGCGCCCGAACAACCCCGACTGCTGATTGGCTGCTTCAAGACCCGCCCCCACGCGGGAGCGGAGAATTCTGGTCTTCGTAGTTTCCCAACGAAAAATGGATAAAGAAACTACGTCCTAGAACTTCATTTCCCAGGAAACGCCACGCCCCAGTTGTACGAGAACGTACCCTTTGTGAACCAGGAAGTTCCTGATTGGCCAGTTGAGACAGTTTCCAAATTGCCAGGGAACAAGACCACTTACCTGGAACCCAGGGAATATCTTTTTGCCTGAGACTCTCAAAAATGCTTTGTTCGCAATGATTCCAAAGGGGGAAACCAGACATGGACGGGATGAAGTCTGTACCTATTGCCTGCCTGTACCTCAGGTGGCACTAACAGGGCCTGCTAAGTGCACCCAGCATGTACCGATGGCTGCCCAGCATAAGGAGACCCGCCTGTATATTCTGTGGCTTATGAGAGCATAACATGGTATTTTCCAGACAGAAGAGAAGGGGGCCTTTACCTTTCAGGGCCTTAGTTTGCCCTGGAAAAGGCAAATGTGGGATAGGATCCTATCCAGATTTGTCTAGGATTCCAAAGCCCCAGAACTTCTGCAGCCCCAAGACTGAACCAACATCCCTAATGTCTCCAGAAGGGATGTATCCACACCACAAAGCTCTTCTGGCACCCCCCCTCCCAAAACTCCCTTCCCCACCATGCCTCTAAGGGCCAGATGAGGGGAACCAAGGCCCTGCAAACGCTCAGGCAGGCATGTGAGAAAGCTCTTTACTGGGGGGTACAGCAAGGAGGAGCAAGGCCATCTCCCCCTACCTGCCCCCACCCCCTCCTAGGGCCCTGGGATGAGGGGGGGGTCTCCCCTCCACCGGACCACCACTGTCTTTGGTACAATAAATAGAAAACAAGGGGGGATAGGGGGTCAAGGGTCCAGTCCTCAGTGGGGAGAGTGTGGCCAACCCCCTCTCCTTGACCCCCTGCCCCAGGCCCCAATCAGTGCAGGCCTCACCCACCCCAGCTGGGTAGCAGCAATTCCAGTCAAGGGGAGAGATGAGGATGGGAGCCCAGGGCCCCCAGATGGGGGGAGGGTATGGCTTCAGGAGGGGCCCCAGGGAGAGGGCAGGGTCATGAGCTGGCTGCTGTACTCTGGGGTACACCACGAAGGCCTAGGCGAGGCCCCAGAGTGGCAGGGTCATCAGGGGGTGGGAGAGGTGGACGACCTCCTGTCATCCGAGTCCGGAGGGCTGAGGCAGCCGGGTGCTGGGGGGCAGGCGCTGGGTGAGGTGGGGAGCAGTCTGGAGGGCCGCCCACCAGGCTCACATCCATCAGCTCCGGGGGTGGTGGCGAAGTTGGTGATGGGGGACGGCCAAGGCATCGGGGTTGAGGGGGTAACTGGGCCCCTGTCCCCGGCAGTGACGAGGCAGAGGTAGGGGCTTGATGTGTCTTGTGGGGCACATCACCCCCCGCCCAAGGGCGCAGCGGCTGGGAGGGTGGGACCTAAAAAACCAAAGCATCAGTTGGTGAGACAGACCTGGGTCTGAAAGTCTAGGCGTCCCATCACCCACCTTCAAAGCCCTCAAAGCCCCAGTACCTGGGGGCTGTTCATCTCACAGTCAGTGATGGGGGGCCCAGGGCCCCCACAGTATCTGTTGCTGTAGCGATAGGTCCGGTTGTCACTGGAGGAGCCACTGGAGCCTCCTAGAAGTGCCAGGGAGGAGAGGCCACAGGTGAGGAGAGAGGTAGCTGGTTTGGGGGTTGCTAAGTCTGTTTCACGGCCTAGGCCCAGATTTGTACTCATCTGCCAGAACTCATCTGAAGGATCCAGTTTTGCGATTTGGGGTCAGAATTTTGTTTTGGGCATTAAGAGTCCAAACAGTTTTAGGGATGTGAGCCCAGGCCCAGCTTCAGGAGTCATGTCAGGGCCACATGGGGCTTGCTTACCCCATCTTATTTTGGAAAATCAGGCTGTTTCAAAGGCCCACTGACAGGGTCACCCAGGCCAGGGCAAACCAGAGCTGACCCCACCCTGCTGTTCCCTTCTGGGCACTGGGCACCCACCAGAGCTGGAGATGGAGCTGGCGGTGCTAGAGGAGGGGCACGTGTCGAGAGGTGCGGGCGAGGTGGAGGCACTGCTGCCTGCCGGGCCCGTGTTGGTGGCCTCGTCGGCCGTACGGCGGAAGAAACCATGCTGCAGAGCCCCCAACGGGCTGATGCGGGCGGCGGGCTCATACTCCAGCATGCGCAGCACCAGGTCCTGGAAGCGGAGGTAGTCGGCGGGGCTGTGGCCCGGCTCCCCCGCCCGCCGGCCCCCGGGCCCGCCCGTCTGCACGCCCAGCACCTCCTGCAGCCGCCGCGTCCCGGGGCCCTGGTAATCCTGGCAGGGAGGGGGTGGGAGGGGGGGCAAGAGAGTGGCCGTCAGTGGGCAGGAGGGGCAGGGAGACACACACGGGGAAACAGAGGCACAAGAGAGAAAGTGGAAAGAGAGAAGCTAGAGTTGCGGGGTAGGAAGGAGAGACGGGGTGGGCAGGGGAGGAAGGAAAGGGTAAACAAGGCGGAAAGGAAGAAAGGGGGAGACACTGGGAGGGAAAACAAGGAGGGAGAGAGGGAGCCCCAAGTGTGAGAGAGTGAGGGGCCACCGGGGTGGGAGGAGTGGCGCGGGGCAGGAGCCGCACCTTCCTGAGTTCCTTTGTCCTTCGCAGAGTCCAGCCACCCCCAGGCAGCCGCTCAAAGTATTTGCGAGCCTTGGGCGCCTGCTCCAGCATGGGGGCCGGTGGGATGCCCAGCACCTCCACAATGCGGCTCATCTGGTCCACCTGTGGGCGGGCGGTGGTCAGGGGTACCAGGCCAGCCAGGCTCCACCCTTCCACCTCCAGTACAGCCCTTCCTGGGGGGCGGGGGCGCACCTCATTGGAGCCGCTGAAGAGGGGTTCTCCCGTGTGCATCTCCACAAGGATGCAGCCCAGGGACCACATGTCAATGGCCAGGTCGTAGGGCGTGCCCAGGAGTACCTCTGGTGAGCGATAGAAGCGGCTCTGGATATACTGGTAGATCTGGGGGAGGGAAATAGTCAGGAGTCCCAGCCTCCCTTACTGATGCCACTGGCACCCACAAAGCTAAGAGGACCCAACTGGGAACGGAGGCTTCAAATCCTGACATTCTTGGCAACCACTTTCCAGAAACCACAATCTCTGCTCACCTGATTTAACCCTATTCTCTGTCCCAAGTCCTTGCCCCTTCTTCGTGACCAGAGGCTGGCAGTATCCAAAGCCCTAAGTTAGGGTACTGGAGCCACATCCCCAGCCCTTTCTATTTTTTGAGACAGGGTCTCGCTAAGTTGTTTAGAGCCTCACTAAACTGCTGTAGCTGGCCCTGAACTTGTTATCCTCCTGCCTCAGTCTACTGTGTTACTAGGATTACAGGGGTATGACATGGTGCTCGATTCTTAAGTAACCTTAGTGAAGGGCCCTTCCATCCCAATTGAGTAAACGACTTGGCAAAGCAACACCCCAGGCTCCAAACCAACCAACTTCACCGGCTGCCTCTGGCTACATGAGAAATGACCCTTTCCCTTCCTAGTGGACAGTGTATCTGTGGACCTCTCTTCTACTTCCAGCCAGCAGGGGCCCTCTAGGACAGCACCAGCTGAAATCCCCACCTCCAGCGCAATCCCTCAGGTGTAGTCTCTGCAGTCCTGGGCTAGCCCCGCCTCACCGGCCCCACCCACCCTGCTAGCCCCGCCCCTGGACAGTTTGAGCCGCACCCGCTGGCCAAGCTGGCAGGAGCTGCCGAAATCCACAATCTTGATAGCACTGCGCTTGGGGTTGCAGAGTAGGATGTTCTCTGGCTTGAGGTCGCAGTGAATGATGCTAAGCTCCGGCGTAGCCAGGAAGAGCAGCGCCGTGCAGAGCTGCTGCGCTAGTTTCCGGGTCAGATTCAGTGAGACGCCTCGGAAGTGTGTGTTGCGCAGGAGGTCGTACAGGTTGTAGGACAGCAGCTCGAACACCAGGCACAGGTGGTTGCGGAACATGAAGTGCCGCTTCAGGTGGACTGTGAGGGAGGTGAAAGAGGCAGTAACAGAGAAGACACAGGTTCAGAGAGGGCCAAAGGTAGACCAGGGTCACACAGCAATGAGTACCTCAGCTTCCTAAGCACTGGCTAAATTGTTGGGTGCCCATGGATACCTCCCATCAGTCAAGATGTTTCTATATGGTGTGTAACTTGAGTCACACAGGAAGTTCTCTTTTCAAGTTTCTGTCAAACCTTCTGATTAAACCAAATAAAAGGTTTCTGTTAGTTCCTAATATAATTCTACACTTCCTCATTTGATTTTATAGATAGCATTGTTTTCATTGTAGTTATATCTATTTTTGTGGCAAGAAACACTGGTTTTCCTTTTGTAGGAAGACTGTAAATTTTCCTTTCAAGAAAAACAGTCAATCCCCTTGCTAATTCTAAGAGGAATCAGTGGCAGAAAAGAAAGAAAAAAAAGAAAAAACAAAGACTGGCATAGATGTTGATAGTCAAGGCTCTGGAGCCTTATCAAAATATAGCTCTGCTGAATACAAGCTGTCACCTCATGCAAGTGACAACATGGAATGCCTGGGTTCCTTATCTCCAACATGTGGCAACAGTGCCCTGTCCTTCATGGGGCTGTGGTGAGGTCATTTATGTAAAGTGCTTATCACAAAGCCTGGCGCTTAATGAGTACTCGATAAACCCTGACCACGGTTATCAAGTGAAGGGGCAAAAGTTATAAAAGCAACAGGAGACTCCATAAAGCTGAGAGGTACAGACCAGGTGCTGCCCTAAAAACAGCAGGTAACCTCCTGTGTGTGTGTGGGGGGGGCAGGTAACCCCTCCCTATCCCAGGGTGCACCCTCTGCCAGGTACCCATGGCCCAGTCAGTCCCAGGCCTCACCTATGTAGTACTTCATCTCTGTGTCATGCTGGTTCATCAGCTCCAACAGTCGAAGCTCAATCTGGGCCTGGTTCAGGAAGGCCTTTTTGTTCTTGATGATCTTGATGGCCACCAGCTCCTGAGTCTGATGATCATAAGCTTTCACCACCTGTCAGGCAGGGCATGTGACCAAGTGAGGCGGGGGTGGGACAGAGCCAGGCATTGCTCTTCCCTTCCAGCCAGAAGACCCAGCAATCACAGGATTACTACTACTACTTCAAAACTGAGTGCTCACCATCAGCTGAGCAGTGATATGAACATGGACATAAACTGTCTTCTGTGGAGTCTTATTATTTGTATTTTTACAAATAAGTAAACGGGGAACATTGAAACCTAGTGACTGGACAGGAGTGAGTGACCCAGCACAGGACTTGAAGTACTGGATGTCTGGGTCAATGTCAGTGGGTGCCTGTGCCCCCCAATCCCTGGACAGCATGGAACTTGTCTTGTACCTGGCCAAAGGAGCCTTTGCCAATGAGAGAGTCAATCTCATAGCGTTCCAGCCAGCGCTCGCCACTGCGCACAATATAGTCATGGTTGTCGTCGTCATAACCATGGTTCAAGACCTTCTTCTCCTTCTTGGTGCTCGAGTCCTGGGGTGGCGCCTGCTGGGCCCGCCGCTTCTTCTTGGCATAGTACACCTGCCCAGCCAGCCAGAAAAAGAGAACTGTGAGCCTGAAACAGCCGAGACCCCCCAGCACTCAGCCCAGGAACGTCCAGCACCTGCCCACCTCATTAATGTGCTTGTAGGTCTTGATGAGGTCCACAGAGAGCTTGCGCAGCGGGGCTGAGGTTGCGTCCCGGAAGGCCAGGGGCAGCCTCCGAGGCAGTAGCCGCACATCAGGCAATACCTGTGGGGCAGCGTGAGGAGAGGACAGTGAGGACAGGCCTTTGCCTTAGAACTCCTGGAGAGAAGAACTAAATGGGCGGCTGGCTCATCATGGTCACACACACATATTTAACTGGTCCTTGTCTAGCTCCCCCACTAGAATATAAACTTGTCTTGTCCTTGCTGACTCTCCAGTGCCTTGAGCAGGGACCAGCACATGATGAATGCTGGCTAGAAATCTGTCCTGTGAATAAAGGAGTGAATGGTTTACCCCTGACCTTTCCCCCAGACCCTGGGTCAGTTCTTTCACTCTTTTCTGAACCTCAGTGGGAGGGCTCATACAGAATACCTGGGCTCTGCCCCTCAAACATTCCACCTGAGATCACCTCTTCAAGGATTCCTGCCTCTGAAGTCCTCCCAAATCCATTCACTGTCAACCCCTGGGGCCTTCCCAACCCTCACCCCACGTGCTTGCTTTGGCAGCACATATGCCAACCCTCATTCCCAGGGAGCATCTCTGCCTGCTTCCTTCACTGCAAGGTTCTTGGATCGGGACCTGGCCCCCTGCTCCACCCTTGCTTCTAGTTCTACATTTCAGAGCCTTACCTACTGCCTCTGGAAATCTGCACACCACTCTGGCCCTGTATATAGCCCAAGACCCTTCAGGCTCAGCCCCTTTCCCCACTGACCCCTCCAGGTCTTTTACTCTGGACTTTCTTTTCTCACTTTCTGTCTGCTGTGTGCCTGGCACTGTCCTTAGCACTTTCCCTGTGTGTTGTGTCAGCTTGTTTAACCCTAGCAATAACCCTGCAAGGGAGGCATTGTCATTGGCTCAATTTTACTCAACAGAAAGCTGATGTGTGGGGGACCTAATGCAGCCAACATGTCAGGATTTGAACTCAAGCTCCCCAAAGTAATTGCCTGAAACTATTCTACTTCCATGGGTCTCACAATGTCCCCTGGAGACTATCCTGCACAACGGCATCATCTTTTGACCCTCAGACCCTTCTATTCCCAGCTTCCCTCTACCTCCTGGCAGATGAGGAGCCAGCTGAATGCCTACCTGTGTGTGCTCCTGGGGCCCCGGGAAGCCAGAGAAGGGACCATGGCCTGGTGGGACGGCCATGGTGGGCTCAGAGGGCCACAGGGGTGCGAGGCCTGGAGCGGGAGCCCGGCCGGGGGGCGCCTTCTCGCATCCTGCACCTCGGCTGCCACCGCCGCTGAGACCTGAGAGCAGGCGGAGGTGGGAAAACAACATGGAACGTGGGGATATGTGGGACAGTGCCAGGCAGGGAAGAGGTGGGCACGAGAGAGAAGGCAGGGCACGAGGGAGGGAGAAAAAGAGTGCAATAGAGCAACAGGTAGCAGTACAGAGGGGACAGAGAGCACGTGAGTGGGAGAGGGTGGCACAGCAGAGTCCCACAGCAAATGATAATAAAATAAGTAAATGAGGCAGCACAAAGAATACATAAAAGGGATGATTGGGAGCCGGACAATGTGGGAGGAGGTGGATATGGACAGTGACAGGAAAGGAGGACAGAAAGACACCAGTAATTGGGGGAGGAAAAGAGAAGACAGAAACCAGGGGCACTCTGGGGAGAACTCTTTCTTTCTTCCCTTTTCTACTCATGGCTCTCCCCAGGGCCCCACATACAAGACTTCACCCTCAAATAGACTTTCCTGAACACCAGGATGCTCCAGTGCCACAGTAAGGACCCTCCACTTTAAGTAGACCCTTCCCAGTAGGATCCCCCCAAGCCACAGCAAGAGTCCTCTGCAGGCCCCTAAAACCATATCAGGATCCTCAGGGACCTCCAGGCCACAAGGAGGTCTGAGAAACCCTATGACAGAGTCTTCAACTACCAGGGTATTCCTTTCCCAGGGCACCCTCTCCATATCATGCCAAGACCTTTTGCCTATATTAGGTCCTCCCAAACCAGGAACCATCCCTCCAGGGAGTCTCCCTATGCCATATTTTAGTTTCTCTGGGCCCCACGAGAGATCTACCCCATATTACTTTAAGACCCCCTCCCAGGCAAGGCCAACTCCTCCACCTCACGGGCTTATGGGGGAGGCGTGTTTTCCTGCAGTTTGAAACTATTATCCTTTTCTCCCCTATACTGGATCTTTGCCCCCACTCAATTACCCAATATGCCTACCAGAGCTCTTTCTCCAGTCACCCCTCTACACCAGGTCATTCTACAACGGTGTCTATTCCTAGAAGGGCCCTATAGCCAAATCCCCAAATATCACCTAGGATTCTCTCTTCCCAGTGTCTGCCACGACAAAATCCTCTTCCTACGGAACTCTCTCCACACCAAATCCTATCTGTCCCATGCCTTGCCACTCCAGGACCCCTTCCTCTCTTGGAGCTTGCACCACAAACAACCTCTTCCCAGGGCCCCCCCCCCCACATTAGGACCAAATCTCCCAGCCCCCACCCCCTACCCGGGTCAGGGCTGGCGCGGGGCCCACGGGGGGCTGGGGCGCGCTGGGGCCCCCAGTGGGGTGGGCGAGCGGCCAGCATGGCGGTGGTGATAGCAGCGGTGAGAAGGTGGCCGCCTGTCCCCGGCCCGGCCGGCCCTGCAAGCCCCGCGGCGGTGAGGGCAAGCGGGACAGGCTGCCCCGTGGGTGACAACAGCAGCCGCCGCCGCGGGCGGGGAGAGGGGGGGACGAGGGTCAGCCCGGGGCACGCGGGGGAAGGGGAGAGCAGGTGGACGGGGGAGGGGAGGGTTAACCCTCGCCCCACCGGCCCCGCCCCGCCCCGCGGCCACCTGCCCCCGGGGACCCTGGTGTCCCGCCCTCCACCCAGGAGGCCCGCCCCGGCCCGCTGAGACCCGGCGGGCGGGGCCAGAGTTTGGCAATCCGCACCTCCCATGGCAACAACCGTGCCATTGGTCGTCGCTGCCAAGAGCTGAGCCAATCACAGACCAGGGCAGCTGTTGCTAGGCGACGACGAAGCGGCCGGCGGAGCCGAGCCCAAACAAAGGGCGGGAGTGGGGCCCGGCAGCCCCCTCCCAGCCTCCCTCTCAAGAAGGCTCCCTCGGGCTCGGCCCCTTCCAGGAATCCGACTATGAATAGCTAGGCACGGCTCGCACCTGCCCGATGCCCCCCTCCTCTCCTCCCTAGGCCTCGTGCTAAGTCTCGCGGCGACGCAGGCAGGGCGGATCCCGCCCTGCCCTCCTTCCCGCAAGCGCGTGCCGCCCCGCCCGTTGCCGCGTCGTCGTTACCTGAGGGCGCGGGTAAGGGGACTCAAACTGCTCGGGGAGCCCGAGCTCAGACCTGCCCACTGGCTGAGGGTATCCGGCGGACGCAGCAAGCCAGGGCCCCGATTACCCAGTAATGCAACCAGCAAAATGGCGACCACAACAAACCGACCCCCCCCCCGCCTCAGGCTCCGCCCCATCTCATCCACTCCCCTCACGTGACATAGGGTAACACTCTACGCCTGCGCTCTGCGGCGCTTACTGGCACACATGCGCAGTGAGCTGCCAATAACCGAAATCTGGGTTAGGATGGCTGCGCAAGAATCTGCTACAAGAGGAGCAAGGGCTGTGACAGGATGCGATTCCAACCCCCACCAAGAAAAGTTGACTGAGGGCACATGGATCCTGTTGTCTACAGACAACAGCAATTACAGAACAATCAGCTGCAGGGAGCGACTGGATCAGTCTTTTAATAGAAAAAATCAACATTCAACAGTAGCAACACACATCTCTTGGAATCCAGACAGCTTTGAGCTTCAGTTCTTCACCTTGGGAGGTGGCCTGTGTGCAGAAGATAGGAGATTGGGGATGGGGAGATGGTGTCACAGCTTGTCATCATTTTGGGGGTCCCCAGAACCATGGCACTGCTGGTGCCTGGAAGGGAGGTCTCTGTCCCGGTGGATTACTGGGCCCCTGCTCACCTGTACACACCCACAACCACAGCATGGTCTCTTTCATAGGGCTCTAGGGTCAACTGTTCCTGGGGCTTCATGTTCTCCTGCTGCATCTTCTTCACTTCAGAGGCAAACACGGCCTCAGCTGAGGCTGTGGAGTCAATGCAGTTGGCCTACAGAGGAGGAAGGATTTGTGGTCTGCAGCAAGGCAGTGGGCTTTTTCCCTTTTTTCATGCTTTTTAAACCAGAAGTATGTCTTCATCAAGTGAAACCCAGGCTTGCAAATGTGGTCAAAGACTTAATTAAAATAAGTTTTAAATATGGTTCTCTGAAGCAGGATGTCCTATTTATCTAAAAGTCAGTGTTTAAATTTTAAACCCAGCTTTTTTTTTTTTCTCACCTACTTCATCTTAGTAATATTAGTACGAAGCTGGGAACAGTAAAACCAAGGTCACAAAAGGCTAACAAATGGTGAGTCTGGTAAAAGGCACATGGCGGAGTTTTTATCTCAAAACATTCTGAGAAATGCACTCACTACTAATCCATTTCCCAATCCATGTCAGGATCTGTTTAAACACTTCACATACATCGATTAATTTAATCCTTACACCAACTCTTAAGAAGACAGGGATTTCTATGTTGCAAGAAAAGAAACTGACAAAGATTAAATAACTTACTCAATTGGAATTCAAACTAAGATGGTCATCATGCACATGACCGCCACTCTCTTGCCTCTTTTACCCAAAAGATACCCCCCAGGATGTTGCCACTCTGTTTTAGATTTCAAGCCCCGCACCTTAATGGAAATTACAAAGTGTCCTCCATTGCGCAGGAAGGTGTGGGCATTTAGGGCCACAATCCGGGTCTGGTCTGGCTGGGCCACGTCCGCAAAGATCACATCCACCATTGCTAAGGAGAAAGGACGATACTGTTAAAGAAGTTGGATACATGCTAGATTGTTCCAGATCCTCCCGTGGGGCCTGTGCTCCATTACCAGTAGTTTCCTGGAAGAGTCTCCCTACTTCCAGTCTCACTCTCTCCAAATGATCCCCCTTCCCTCCACAGTACCCTGAGATGGGTCCAAAACTGACAGTCACACCACTTATCCAATCCTCTTAATTGGATGCCATCTACCCAATTGGCCAACTGGGCTGGGTATGGGGGACACAGGAGTCCGACCTGGACCCTGTCCTTGAGGTGCTCTGAGGTCTTGAGGAAGAAAACAGACACATCACGAGAAAGACAAGTAAAGCTGAGTAGTTTAAAGGCAAGAGTGGGAACAGGCCTGTGAAAAAAACTACAGGACAAGGGGAAGGAAATGACTGTGTGTGGGGAAAAAATGCACAGAACGAAAAATGAATGGAATGAAAATATTTTTAAGGCAATGTAACTTTAAAAAAATGAAAAGGTAGTTTAGTGAAAACCGATTCTTTAAAAACTGGGAAAAGCAGATAGCAAATGTTTTTATCAGTTACCTCTGGGGAGAGATTTAAAAGACTTTCCATTTTTATACTATATTTTTAAAAAATAGTTATTAATATTCAATAGGCCCATGTGGGGAGAGGAAAGACAGTAGAATGAAACGGACATTATTACTGTATGTATATATTTGTATGACCAATGATTATGCAACATGTACATTCAGAAAAATGAGAAATTATATCCTATCTATGTATATCAAAGTGCATAAAAGCATTCTACTGTCATTATAACTAATTAAAACAAAAAAGAAATTAAAAAAAAAATTCAATAGGCCCCTCTGGTCCAGGCCACACACAGCTTGTGCTTTCTGGGCTAGGATCTCACCAGACAATAAGGACCCCTGAAAGTGGCTTCTTTTGTTTAGGAACACTGTAAAGATTAAGAAGAAGGGAGGAGACAAGACTGCTTCTCCTATGGCACCAGATATCTGAACCCCTGAAGCAGGGTCATGACTTTCACCACCTCTCCTGGTTCCCCCCCCCCCATTTTTCCATTCCCATCCATTGCTTATCCAATCTGACCCCATCTGAATCTTCCAGGAAACCTGGTTTGGCATGCCTTGCCTGCCTTGGGCCACCCCATGGACCCACTCTCACCAATGAGCATGCGGTATTTGTGTGGATGCCGAGCATCTTCGATCACAGGAATAATGTTGGTCCTCTTCTTGGCCAAGTTAATGAGGTCACGGCCAGATCGGTGAGAGAACTCAACTGCATAGACCAGTCCATCCTAAGATAAATCCAATAATAATCAGCAACAACACTGGTCCTCATCCAGGGAATGACTACTTTGGGCTCATCCACTGCACATCACTTCAGACTCCCAACAAAATCCAACTATTTAAATACTATTATTATCATACTCATATTACAGGTGAATAAACTGAGGTTTGAAGTCACTGGCCAAGAGTCACTCAGTTATCAGCAAAGCTACACAATCCTAGTTTGCCTGATCTGAGAGCCCAGGCTCCCCAAAAATAGGCAACCAAAGCACAGAGATGAAATAACCAGAGCTAAGAGTATTTGAAATGGATCAGGCCCTTATAGGAATTAACTTATTTAACTGTCACAACAACCTCATTCTCCAGAGTATTAAACTGAGGGTCAGAGAGGTTAGGTAACTTGCTGAAAGCCACTTCATCATTAAATACCCAAGAGTCTAGGGTTTTTAACATGCCTATAATCATAAGTGAACAAGAAGTCATGAAATGAGATACACACATGCCAGGTGCCCTCTGTGGAAACCAGTACACACAAGAAATGCAGACTGGAAACTATGAGAACTACTGGTTCTTTCAAGAGAAACTAGATGATCAGATTTTGGGTACATAAATCCCCATTCCCCACTCCTTTACGGGGATTAATCCCAAAGGAATTTTACTACTGAGCTATTATCTCCAGCCCTTTTCATTTTTTTATTTTGAAACAGGGTCTTGCTGAGATGCCCAGGCTGTCCTCAAACTTGAAAAGGTTGGCCTTGGACTTGCAATCCTCCTACCTCAGCCTTCCGAGTGACGGGATTATAGGTTCGAGCCATCACACCTGGCAGAGGACATGAATTTTTAAAGAAGGCAACAAATCCAAATAGTTTGGTATCTATACTCTCAGCTCTGGATCCCACAAATGCAGGTCTTTCCATGCCCATACCACCTTCCTCAAGGCCAAGAACCCAGGAGTGCAGCTGAATGAGCATCTACTTCAGGCTGCTCTGCTGACTCACAGGTACTGTGTCAGAAGGAGATGGCCCAACATCACATATGGTGGGGAAACAGCTAGGACCACTTCAGAGTGACAGAGGAGGTGGCTTTTCCCTCCATCCACCTCTACCTGTCTACTCACCTGGCCTACGATGTCTGACACATGAGAGACGGTGGTGCCCGAAGCTGCTCCGAGGTAGAGCACTTTCGCCCCTGGCTTTATGTGGATCTGGTCCACACCACCCAGGATTGCTGCTGCCAGCTTGGAGCGGAAGGGGTTCCAGGCTCGGTACTCAATTTTGTCATCTCCCTCCTGGGTCAAGAAATATGAAGATGGACGTCAGTGTTGGACTCTTCTATAGGACCCCATTTCCCTTGGTCCTAAGAACCCTCAAAAGAAATGAAGTTCAGTTGTTACACAGGAACTGAACATGGACTCCCAGCAGTGAGCACGACAGGTGTACCCCTGTCCTCGCGTGGATGTTGCTGACTTGATGAGAAGAGGCAGCAGGAGACGGTAAATACAAGGAATAATAGTCAGACCTGTGCACTTATCATTTCCTGTCCTAGCACCTATTTATGCTACTCCTGGTCCCAGGTGCTGGGGACACAGTAGTGAAGAAGACTCCAATCCTGCCCTTAAAGGATTAAGAATACACTGAGGTAACTAACTAAACACAA